AAATAACACTTTCTTCTTCTGGAAAGTGTTTCAGTTCAAGAATAAAAACATGAAAACAAGAAAAAAATCAAACAGAAAACTGCATATCTGAAAGAGCCGTGCTGACAATCTGCCATCTGAGCTCCTCTATCACACATGCTCGAATCACACTTCTTTTTGTGGACTAACGAYCAGTCAGAAATGATCATTCCCTGCAGACATGACAGACAGGCTGACTGATCCACAAAGCTCTTTTCTCAGTGAAAGCCTGGTCACAGATGTCCCTTATGAAAGGAAGCTACCAGACGCTCGATAATTTAATAGAGTGGCTGAGTGGATTTATTGTYTCCCAGTGAGTAGGTTAGTTAGAGAACAACAATTCGTACTGGGGAGGCATAAGCCACAATGATTTTTGTGTATTAAAAATAACCTAGTCAATAGTTCACTTGAATCATACTTTCACACACAGGTTTCAGTTTCATTAGGTATCAAACCTGCTGTGGCCATACAGATTCACTTTTTAAATTATTTGCAATCAGCACAGTTTGTTTTTTGCTTAAAAATAATAATAAAGAAATGGATAACATGTCTTATGCAGTCCTTTTAGTCCTTGTTTGATACAGGGAAAAATGTTACCATAGCTACAACTATTTGAGGAAGTAGTTTCTGTAGCAACAGACAGATAACTGTATATGGACCAAACATGGGCATGCTGAAACGAAGAGGCACTCCCTTATGGGGTCAAGAGTGCYTCCTTGTCAAACGACTCAGAAAACATTTTGCAGAGGAGTCCGGCTGCTGATTCGAGGACAAAACACAACAAACGCCCTCAATTGTTGCTGGAATTTTAACYGGAAGAAGAGCACAAACATTGTAGGAGCTTTATTTTAACAAACAACACTTAACACCCACGCATACAGACTGCCTTAGGTTTGTTTATTCGCATGAGACTTCACAAAACYTGAACTGGTCTTTCTGAAAATGCTTTCTTTATGTGGTGTGCGCTCAAGTTGTACAAACAAGTCAAGAAATTAATATTTAGCAAGTAGCCTCCAGTGTTTGTTCTTAATGAATACYGATACACAATAAGGCAAACGTTTAAAACATTTGTTCTTTGTGCTCATGCTCAGTTAGCTCAATTAAAAAAAAAACAAAGTTTATGTACAAAATGAGGACTCACTTCAACAGCTAATTCAGTGCAAGGGCTTCATAMTTAATTGTGCAGTAAAGAGAAAACTAAAAACAGAGGGACAAACAGTGCAATATACCTAAAGTGTTAACAGCTATAAAATGAATTTCTTTAAGTGCAGGCTGTCATTTCTCAATGCCACTCGGAAGCGAGTGTTTTTGTCCATGGGATTTGAGTTGGTTGCTGATGTTGCCAGCTGCAGTGACTCAGCAAAGCCATCATCCTGCAGGACGGAGCATTACACCAATCAAGATGGTGAGATTAAAGTGCATAAWAATATTAGCTGGGGGCGCAAACAACTTAACCTATTTCACTAGTGACAGCATATGGAAAAGGGTAATGGAGTTCATGGGATGGTGAGACACTTAAACAATCTTTATCAATCTGTTTTAGTTCATACCAGCTGAAAGTTCTGTCCAGATGTAAATTTAATGCAGCAGTTCAGCTTGTTTTGAAGTCTGCAAGGCACTTAAAAATAGATTTATTGTATTTTATCTGTTTTATTTTTATTARAATAGAATATTAGCTTACTTGTACAAACATAGAGATATGTTTTGCTGCATCTGCACAAGTTTAAACATGCAGAAAATACTATATAAAAAATGCACATACTGCAAATATACAAAACAGATTACATAAAAATAAACAGCAAAAACAGGGGGGGAAAATGCCAAAGAGAGGGATACAGACAGACAGACGTATAGTTTCACTTGCAAGACCTGTCCTCTGTCCAATAAAAAATGTTGCATCTTGTGAAATTCCACATGCAACTTGTCATTTCTTAATAACATGCTCTAATAATCTGCATTAATTTATTAATATTTATTGTTATTTAACCAGTCAAGTCCTGTTGAGATCACAGATCTCTTTTTCAAGAGAGGCCTGGGCCTGAAGGCAAACTATTCTACATGTTTTTAGGGGTGGGGGAAACTGGAGTACCCGGAGAAAACCCACACAAGCAGGAGGACAACCTGCAAAGCCTTCACAGAAAGACTCCAGGTCCGAACCGGGGATCGAACACAGGACCTTCTTGCTGTGAGGCATTGGTGCTGACCACTGAGCCGTTCTGCTGCCATTTACTGTGAAACCATACTCATAAAACAGATTATATCTCCTCTTAGAGTTGACACATTTCATTATCGTTCAGTGTACCTAAATTAATTAGTTAAAAAAACTATTTGAAGATATTTAATTGATGTAACACAAAATGTCTCAACATTTTAGTTATTACACAAAGGAACATACAATAACTGAGTTCACTTGAAAGGCTGCCTCGTGATCTTGCTGGTGCACTTTTTTGACTAGCTCTGAGGAGATCCTTTGCTTCAGGCATTTTCCTCCACCCTCTCTACAACATTGGAGATCCTGTACTAAATCATTGGTAAGTGTTTTTTTTTTTAATTTTATTTATTATTGTTTTGTCACGCACACACAACCTAGCAGACATGATAACAGTGCGTTACAACCTGACTGGCTCAGTGTTAGTTTATGTCATGATGCTAGTATTAGCTACGTWGTTTYACTGTTAGCATCTCCACCGTAACATGAGGACAAGGAGGAAAGCAGGGTTGTGTGAWTGAGATAAAGGTAAGTGTATTTTATGTGTGATATAATTTGTTTATGACTTTATTCTCTGCGTAATATCAATCATTTTAGTGTTGAAGTCATGTGGTCGCAGTTGACTTAGCCGCTAATGGCTAGTACAAGTGAAGCAGCCCCAGCGGTATGCTCAGTACGGTCGTGCATGCATAACTAATAAATAGAACACTAGTATTTATTTCCACCCCCTAATTTATAATAACACTTTCATAACGTTCAAATAACTATAACAGTAATTATCGGATTTAATCGTAATTTGCAGTTTAAACTCTGCGGAACCAATTTCATTTCACGTTTTTCTGGTAGACTGGTTACAGTGATGCACATCATGTCAAAGGTCGGACACGGCTATCAATAGAGGAATGAATATGCGTTGCTACGACTGATGAAAGGTAAATTTATATATAAAACCCAGACGGAATATTTGGTTAAGATGGAGTTTTGTGCAAATTGTGCACAGATGGTTGCATACCCCTGAAGCACTAACTGTACAGTATCATCTCAGTGCAAACATGCTGCAGTTAGCTTAACAGGTCAGTAGGATCAAAACAGAGGTGGCTCTATCAAGGCTTCAGAAATCAGTAAGTCAATATACTGTAGTTTAAAAACTCA